ACTCAGTGATATCCCCATGCTGTAAGGAAGCATTCAATGACATCACCACGATGTAAGGAAGCATTCAATGACATAACCACGATGTAAGGAAGCATTCAATGACATCACCACGATGTAAGGAAGCATTCAATGACATCACCACGATGTAAGGAAGCATTCAATGACATCACCATGATGTAAGGAAGCATTCAATGACATCACCACGATGTAAGGAAGCATTCAATGACATCACCACGATGTAAGGAAGCATTCAATGACATCACCACGATGTAAGGAAGCTTTCAATGACATCACCATGATGTAAGGAAGCATTCAATGACATCACCATGATGTAAAAAAAACACTAGATGATATCACCATGAAACGAGGCCCATGACATCGCGTGCAAGGCACATCATCATTGTATCCCTTTGTGACACTCACCTTTGACCCATGGCACGTAACTCGTCTTTGAACGCACACATTCTTTCAAAAGTCCCTTGGGTTATTCCAGCTCAGAAATGATGTCTTTGACTGCTGCCGGTGTCATCCATGACCGCACGGCTCGGAAATTAATCCCACCAAGATGGAAAAACGGTCCGGCCGTGTAGCCAGCCCTCCAGCACCTCGAAAACCAACACTAATAACAATAGTACCCGGGTTTTTCCACGGGGCAGTACAATGTACCCAGATATCTCCCTCTGCCACACGGACACCGCTGTAGATACGTATGCACACACACACGCACTAAACAACACTTGAAGGAAAGAAGGAAAAGAAAGAAAATAAAAAAAACTATCTGCTGCCCTAGTATAGGGAGGGATTTTCCCAAATTAAGGAAACGCGTTATTAAAAATAGAATAGTGGGGGAATTTGTGTGACCTAGTTCAACTCAAGGTGTAATCAATTCATCCCGCATAAGCGTTTCCCATTCAAAGAAGTGGGCTTTAAAAAAAAAAAAAAAAAAAAAAATAAAAATTAAATATATAAATATATATATATATATATATATATATATATATATATATATATTGTTGCTTATAAGCCTACAGCGGGTCTCACATGATGGCAGCTAGAGTGATAAAGAATTTCTAAATTCGATCCTTCAAATTTAAAAAGAAACTGATATCATTATACTATCCTTAAACAGTGCAAAGTTCACTTTGATTTTTTTAAAATTAATATATTTATTTTTTTAATGAGATAAGGCTAATTAACATTTGTACCCTTAAAAGTTAAAGAGTCATCTATTAGAAGACGTCACGTATCACGTGTCATAACACACGTCTGTAAAAGGCTACCCATAAGTTAAAAACTAATGTCTGCAGGTCAATATTCTTTTGGAATAACCCAAACTTGGTAGGTGTATGTGGTAATGTCACGTGCCGGGGATAACCGAGACGTCACGGCGGTTAGGCGGAGGTTCTCAAATGTATAAGCAATGTGTGAATAATAATGAGTGTGTGTTTGGCAACATTCGTTACGGGGAAAATATGCAACGGTTACATTGTGAACGCTACTAGAAGGTCACGTAGCATCTGCAGATGTCTCGGAAAGCCAGCCTGGCCTTGGACGCGACCACTTGAGAAATGTTGACGCGGGGGGGGGGGGGGGGGGGGGGTTCGAGTAATTGATCTCCATCTTGATTTCAACCTAAGAGTTTGCTAGTAGGACTGTCAATCATCAAGATTGTAAGAGGGAGAGGGTACAATATGATAATTCTAGTAAATCTCCTTGTTACCCTCTCCTCTCCGCAGAGGCGTAGCGGGGGGGGGGGCAGGGGGGACAGATGTACCCGGGCGCAAACTAGTTAGGGCGCCAAAATGTACTTTGATATTATATTATTGGTAAAAATAATGGATTTGAGAGTTGAAAAAAAGAAAAGGAGGCGCTTTAAAATGGATCTTGTCCCCGGGCGCGAATCTAGTCCCCGGGCGTCCAACACCCTCGCTACGCCTCTGTCTCTCCGTGAAGTCATAATATATGATATATCTCAAAGGACAGTTTGCACGGAGACCACTGCTAATTTTAGTGTGCAGTTGGCATCTTGTGTGGCTGTAAACTGCACACATCATGAAAATTGATGCTAAATTCGTTCGGAAATAAATCATCTAAAAGTGCGTGCAATCTTTATCAAATTAATCAAATAGATTTAGACATGACTGATAGATTTAGACATGCCTCATAGATTTAGACATGTCTGCATGGGCGCACGCAGAAAACTTTTTTTTTTGAGGGGGGGGGGCAAAAAAAATCGATTAACTTTCTAGGGGGGGGGGGCAAAATTTTTTTAGGAATGTTTTAATGTAGTTTTAATTTACTGTAGCCTTTTTGTATGGTGAACAAATGGACAGAAAAAAAAATTTTTTCCATCCCACCGGGGGGGGGGGGCAAGTGCCTACCTTGCCCCCCCCCCTTCGGGCGCCCATGCATGTCTGATAGATTTAGAAATGCCTCATAGATTTAGACACGACTGATCTAAGGGAACCAGACAGCCGATTCTGTGGCGAGGCAGAAGAAACAGTGGCTCATGTGGTCATCACGTGTCCTAGTGGGGGGACGGGGAAAAACGGGCGAGACCCGGAAGCCTGCCTTGAAGATATGATTTACGGGGATGCCCAGCAGATGACGCTCGCCGCCAAATTAGTAGCCAGGGCTCTAAGAGACTAAGTCTCAGCCCAACAGAGCATTGACATTTATAAGATAGATTTAGACATGACTGATAGATTTAGACATGACTGATAGATTTAGACATGCCTCATAGATTTAGACATGTCTGATAGATTTAGACATGCCTAATAGATTTAGGCATGTCTGACAGGTTTAGACATGCCTCATAGATTTAGACATGTCTGATAGATTTAGACATGCCTCAAAGATTTAGACATGTCTGACAGATTTAGACATGCCTCATAGATTTAGACATGCCTCATAGATTTAGACATGCCTCATAGATTTAGACATGCCTCATAGATTTAGACATGCCTCAAAAATTTGTAAATGACTGACAGTTTTAGACATTAATAATTGTTGCGACTGGATATTATGTTTGATTACGCGCGGTGTGTGTTTGAGAAATTAATTAGTTGGCTGCGACGTTGTGTATAGGGCCTATATATATATATATATATATATATATATATATTACATATATATATATATATATATATAT